TTAATATTGAAATATTTTTTCTGAATTATTTTATTTCTTTACAATGTAGCACACGGTAAGTTTCGCTCACAATTTCTAATAGATTTTAAAAATTCAAAACTGTTGAAAGATATTAATTTCGAATTGCGTTTAATTAGTTTTTTGTCATTAAATGCTGAAAAAAAATTTATTGTTGGCGATTTTGATGAACTTCTATAACGATAGATTTCGTAGTCTCAAATAATATAATAAATATTATGCCCCCTGCGATAAGCGATTGAATTATACCATTTTTTAAAAGACTTCCCTTTTGAATTACCATTTTTTAAAGAATCTAATCAGAATAACCCTATATATTACTATATACATTTCATGTTTCATATATGGCTACTAATTACAGTTTAGGTTTATACAATTAAATAAAATACATTTTTAGAATCCGAAATGGATAAAATCATATGTGTCAAGTATGTTTGAAAGACGATTCAATTTGAAATTGAATTGATTCTTTAATTGTTTTTTTAGTGAAAGCGAAATAACAGTTGAGCATTTTACCTGATTATTTGAATTTCAATGCTTATTGACTAGGTTTATTATTTGTACATATAGGAAAGTTTATGCAACTTGCCTAAAGCGAATTGCTACTTACAAACTCATTTATTTCAAAGATTTGATATTGATTGATGCGTGTCTTGACCTTAATAAAACTAGCAAGTGCATGATTAAAGATATTTTTTAAGATCTTTGCCTATTCTTGGTCGAAAGATCTATTTGGTATTTTATTTTGATGGAATACATTCATGATCTGGTTCTAAAATGGCATTAGTATGTTTACTTCCAAGGTGTGATTAATATAAAAAATCACTGTACATACATGTACGTCATAGCACGTGGGCTTATGTAATGAGTACATCGCGAATAGTTGCCAAAATAATTCAATTGATTTGCAAATAAACATCCGCCGGGGATCCCGATGATCAGACATGTATATGTAATTTATTTTGAACCAATATTTGATTATCGTTCTCTCGTCTATTTATATTATGATCTATACTTGGCAAATAGTACTAGATGAAAAATTTTGCTAAATATGGGAAAAACAAGATTGAAATATAATTTTTTATGCATTATTTCTTTAACCATTTTTGTAATTGTTAACATTCTGAAGAATTGTTGTTTTTGGCTGAAAATCCGACTTACTCATTTCATACTATCTGGACGTTTCAAGTCAATCTAAATCGTTTGACGCCGAATTGAAAAAAGTATGAGTGATGTCGATGAAACTCGACAAAGACTCGTGTTGGTTAGTTATGCGAGGCTATCACAAGTGCACCAATTTGTGTCCACGTTTTTGCCAAAAATCTTAAACTGATTTAAAAAAATTGAAATCTGTTGGGAATGTATCATTTGAGAATAGTCCTAATTAGTTTCTGGGTAGTTTCTTTGTAATTATTTGTTGGAAAAAGTTACTTTGACAATTTAGGTGAAACTTAAGGTATGGAGTTTATGGCACTACAAATGGTTTGCTTATAAAAATTCTTTAAAATTTGGAATAAGAAGCAGCGCTTTTAGGACATACGGACATACATACTGTATTCCTTAGAAACATACTATTATAATGTATTTTTATTATTTGAGTTTATAATTCTGACGTGTAATCAAAATGCTTGAATGGCTTTCCCTGTGTTAATTGAATCTCGCAAAATTATGATTCAGGAAATGCTAGGTCCAAGGCCGACACGCGTCGTCTATACTCACATGCTACTAAGAATCATTTGCATAAAGTCCATTCGCATTAGTAATGAGATTTACTACAAATTACTAGTAGTATTTTGTTGTTTCTAAAGAATCTAGTCTATCAGCATTCATATTCATTAATAATTAACTAGAAATTGAACTGGAATGGGTACAACTTCGCCCCGTAGTATACAACAAATTTGCTTCTTTATTTCCTTAACACTTTCCAATTTTGTTAAGTAGTTTGCATCTGCAAAATCATCGTACACAAAGCAGATGTCTTAATATTCGATTTTAACAATCACTTCTCATTTGACACAAATATCTTCCTAAATATTATGATCTCTAGTCCAATCTCAATGTTAATGAACATTAATCTTCTTCTGCATGAGGTCTTAGCAAATGCTGTAAATGATAACAAAATCGAGAAATTATAAAATGTAAATAATATAGCTTTCAATTAAGGTTTTATATTTCATTAAATATACCTTTCACAATTTGTTATGCCATATATTTAAATCCATTTGCTCAACTAAGTTCTAATAAAAAAATATTAGATAGGATAGATGGACGAGTGGCATTTATATACATTTATTTATTGTTTGAGTTTGGGCATCAGAACCCCAATATTTGAGGTATTGTTTTTGAGCAGTTTATGAATCATTCTGTTTCTTATTTTTATTAAAGCCTAAAAGTTTATATTTGTGTTCAAATCATCAAACCCTTTCACTAAAACACAACATTTATTAGAAATAAATATCTTTTTTTTATTCTCTTTATTGAATTACAATCTGTCTTTACAAAAAGGAAGACATTCAGTAATTTTGATGATATATGAAATATTAAACATTAAATCTACAAGGTTACCCAGTAGTAAGCCTTTTCACTTTTGATACATTAAATTTAAATTTTGTGTATAGAAGAAATAAAAATCTGATAAAATATTGATGATCGACCTAAGATATTAAATACACGTTATTTCTGATGTTCTGTAACATTTATCTTAGTAAACACAAAATTCAATATTTTTCATATAATACATTCTTTAATTTCTAGTCTATTTTTAATATATAGTCATTTTTATTTCTATACAACTCTGAATTATTACTAATTTTTATGATGTAATAAGTTTTTCGGTTCACATATGATGATACTGAGTTATTAATAGATAAGAGTTCGATTATCGACGAGGTTGAAATTTAACAAAAAATACCCGAAAAATGTTGATGCATATATATTTTCTTATCTAAAATGAAAATAAATTTATTTTTATAGTTATTTTTTCACTTTTGCAAAGCGTAATGAGTTTAACAAATAAATCAAATAATACAATCTTGCGTGTTTATGATATTTTTTATAATACTGCGGCTATACCTTTTATTCATGATTATTTTCATTTTAAATTAAATTCCAATATATAAATAGTAGAAGAGTTGATGAATAAAGGACATTGATTTCTTAATAATGAATATTTAATTAATTCAAAAATATGAACATTCGATTTAGCAATATTTATTTTAACAACGTACTGAAAAAAACATTATTTAATTAAATTCCTTATAGATCTGAAATATAGTCTCTTAACACTATTATTAATTATTGAACAATTACAAACATGTGCAAGCATTATTATAATTTCAAATAAAATGTTCTAAACATAACAAATTTCAAAAATCCCCTTATTTGTGATATTTTTTGCAATCAACTTCCTACGAATTAAGATAAAATTTTTGCACAGTAAGTCGTTTCGTGCTAATTGATCTTTGTACGGTAACTCGATAGGTATATTTCTTACATCAAAGGCGTCATATATGATTCACTAATTTACGTCATAGTGTAGTGAATTTATGTTATGTCTGCTATATCATTTATTAGAATTGTTAGTTGCCAATCATTAATAACTTAAAGAATTGACGCGGTTCTTGATTGCTCATAAACGCATTTGAATTGTTAATGTTATTCATTTATATAAGTATAAAGCGCAATACAGCGACTAAAGAAACTGAAAAACTATTTTATGGCAATCTAAATTTGTTCAACAATGATTTAAATTAGTTAGAATAAAGCCATGATAAAATATTAAGAGTAGTGCTGGGCAATCGATGATAACATAATTTAGTAATTAAACTGATGAAGAACTAAGCTTATCGCATCTGATTGTTGAAAAAGTCTTTTCATTCGAACTAAAGTCATTTATTGATATTTGGTACACATTTACTGTTTTCAATACAGAATAATTAGTATTCTCAGTTTTTTAATATTCTATACACATACACCCTTTGAATTTCATCATACAAATTATAAAACCATAGTGTATGATTCCTTATAATATATAAGCTAATACAAAATTGCAACATTTATCAAATATCTATGATACGTTTTGACAAAAAAATCGGTAAAACCTCCATACTGCTCTAAATGTAATATTTTTAGATGTATTTTGACCATCTTCAAGCTTTCTGAGACAATTAAGTGTAAATATTTTTAGGCCCAGTTTTAAAATCTTTACTGATTTTATTTACATTTAATGCGAATTTTTATAATTCCTGATATCTAAAAATTAATTTATATTTAATAATTTGATTTAGATTTTTCCATTTCTATCCATTTATTAAAATCAGTCTCTCATATACAATTTTTAATAAATGTTTATTGGGTTTTTGATCCATGCACAATTTTCTGAATTTATGTTATTGTTATTGCTATTTTGATCGAGCAAAGATTAGATTTCCATAGCAAAAACAAAATTTCCGGAAATGTTAAAGATTAAAAAGATAGTTAACATCACATATTTTTTATAGAAAATTTGTTAAATAAGTATAATTTGAATCAAATGAATCCCATCATTAAAAATTAATAATAAATTTGTATTAATTTTGCTAAATAATAGATATAAGAAATTTAGGCTTTAACTACACTAAAAAAAATTCTTGCCTACAGGGACAAGAAAATTTTAAAAATATTAATTCTGCAGAATTAATTATCAAGACTAAATTATCAATAAGAATTATCAATTCGAACATGACAATATAATGATATATCATCATTGTGCATTATGAAACTGTAGGTTTCTAAACCTAATAATTTGGTGTTAATTTTTTTTTAATTGTTTTTTTTATTTACATTTGCAAATTACAATCTGTCGTTCTTATACAACATTCAGTAATTTTGATGGTATATTAAATAAAGGAAAAAGGTCGAAAGGTTACCCATTGGTGATCCGATTCGATGTTGGATGTGGTGTTAAATTTTTATTTTTATTTTCTGTTCATTATTCAACATTTGAGTAAACAATCTATCCAGTTCTAGTGCAATGAACTACGGTTGTCTGTAGAACTGGAGGTAAACACGTGTTTTCGCACACTCTCTAATTCGCTATACAGACTCAATAAAAACATTATAGGAGTCCTACAATAACAGGTTAACGGCAACTGACAGTAATTCCCCGTTCTTCGCATGTCGAAGACACGTGCCATAACAATAATTAAAATAATTATGGATTGGGAAGGGAGAATAAATAAAATTTAAAGCATTATTGGCTACACAAACGATTTTGTAGTATAGTACAGTTTGACAAATGTTTCTTGGGATATGTTTCCTGTAAATATACCTCACAATGTAATGAAGATTCTATACTAACATAGTTATATTTACAATTATGTATCTAAAGACATGATAAATTATTTTTGTTTCAATATGACTTCAATTATCCCAAAATTTGTGCTGTTGGTTGACAAAATAACTTAAAAATTAAAAAATACTCTTATATCTAAATGCACCATATTCAAAAAATACGCTGTTGTTTCTAAGATTTCGAAATTATCTCAAAAAGTTCATTTTTTGGACATATGCTATCTCCTACAATTTCACAATTGGTTCTATGATTTTGCATATTCTTTATTATATCGCTATTACTCCTGGAGGATTATTATATTTTTTTTACTATCGTATTAACTAAATTTAACAACATTTTTTTTATTAAGTTCATTAGTATGTAGTACTACTACATACTAATGGAATATTTTATTTTACATTTCAAGATCAGAATTTATTTTTTGAATCTTACCATTACCATTTTCACCATAGTCTTTTTAATTCTGCAATGTTAATGCAATAGTTTTTTTAATTCTACAATGTAATTAGATTGTAAGCTCATTCTTTTTCCTACTGGAACTAATTATGTCTGTTTTTTGAGTACATAGCCCCCTTAGAAAATCTTGTATATTGTGATACAGAATTATTTACAGACTGCCTTAAAATAAGAAGTCAACGACCCCCTCAAAAAATAGAAAATTTTTCTTATTAGTGATTTTTTTAACCTTTACAGAATGATGTACATATTTTTTTAACGTATAATTATGATCAGATAAAATTACTAATAATTATTTTTCTAATACAAATATTTGTGAATCATTTGTATGTGCGAGTTGATAAGCAGTGATAAGAAGCGTTACATGAATTTAGTGCTTTACATCAGGCGGAGTATTTATCATGGGGAATCCAAACCTTTAGTTCAATTCTGAAACTGTGATTTTTCTACAGTCGTCACATTAATGGTTGTGAGAAACATAAGGGGGCGTCCATTAATCACGTGAGCGAGCTTTTAAGGATCTTTGGACCCTCCCTCCCCCTTGCGTACACGGTGATTTTCAAAATTTTTTCCCTCACCCACCAAACATCACGTGTATATTTAGTTAGTTATTAAAAACTGAAATTGAAACATTTTTAAAATAACGGTTAAAAAATAAATACACGTGATGTTGTACTATACCCCCCCTCCCCCACCTGATATTTCGTAATTTTTTGTCAAACCCCTCATCCCCTTAAAAACCTCACGTGATTAATGGACGCTCCTTAAATATAAATTATTATTGTTCAGAATTGACTTATTACGGGTCCTGGCTTCGTATCAAATTTCTTGGGCGCTCTCACGAAGGGCAAAAATTTCTTACAAAATGAAAAACATTTCACACTATTAAAAAAAATATTATTTTCATTATTTTTCATCAATATCAGTTGTCACTTTTCCAAAGTATTTTTTTTTTCAAATAAAATTGTTCGCCTACGTGAAATTAAAGTCCAAAGTGAACCATATAAATTTATAATGGATTTCAAGTACATTCTTATCATTGCGTATGCAACTTGTACAAAATTTACTCGATGCCTGTTCGTATGTATTTTTAGTTTTTCGTGTATTTTTTATTTATTTATTTCTTTATTTATACATTAATCATTTGATCAATTTTTCAATAAATTGTTGCATCTTTATCAATAATTTCTGCAAGGTTTGTCGACCCTGATCGCTTTCGATTCGCGGTTCTTCCCGGCCCTAACCTACCGCCAATGACCGTATTTTGCGGACGCCGTCTGGGACATATAAGTGATCGGCAGAGTACAAGGCGTTATCACTCTCTAAGTATCTCGCGTCGAAAACACTTGTACGAATTTTGTTATTTAATTATTGTTTACAACATACAATCAGCTGATTGTATTGACAATTGAGGCAAATTAAAAGATAAAGATGCAGAGTTTTCGTGATCAGATCGAAGAAGATCTTTGAAATCATTTCAGTGAAGTGATGTGATTTTTTACATTTCATAAATTGAACTAATTAAGAAATACTATTGCAATGGGGCAGTGTTTTTTCTCAAAATGTCATAATGATTAAATTGGTGTAAATAATAGTGTCATGTACAAAGGGCTAAATTCAAGAAACCGTATATATGAATAGATGAATAAAATAACGATATTAATTTGTTAGTGGATCACTGCAACCGTGCGATTTCGAGAAACAATTAGTGACAAATTTATTTAAAATGGGTTATAGATCATCCTAAATGTGTTTTCGTAGTTCATTTTCTCCCGTGAGACTAAAACTGTGACAAAAACTTTAATTTTAGCCCAAAACTGTGATGTGATGGTCGTCAAAATCGAGCCCGTCTCTTCTTCCAGCGAAATGCATAATTCTCCAAGGGATCCCCAAAGATCGACAGTGAAGCACGTTGGAAATGACATAAATATATCCTTGAATTCAAATCCAAATGATCTGATCTTGGTGGGAAACAAATCCCGCGTGGACATCCAAACCAATGAAGGAAGTGTTAAAATAATTGGTGATTATTGTAAAGTACGGATCCTTTGCAATTTGGGAAGTGTCCGTTATGTTGGCAACAAAGGAACTGTGGTAATTGGAAATGATTCGGTTTCCCATGATGTTAAATATACAGGAAACGGTGGAAATTTGAAATATCGTGATGGAACTGATATGGACAGCAAAAAATTTACACAAACCTTGGAAGACGATCGAGGGAAGAAGAAACGTAGCAAAAAATATTCTAGAATTTATAATTCTGATAGTGCTTTGAATGCTGATGCCATTTTAATTAATTGTAATAAGTATTTAAATGATTATCCAGTTAATTTTAACTGCAGATCCACCGAATGTTTTATCACGAGCGGAGCAGTTTACACAACTACCCCTTGTATATCCGTAGTCAATGGAAATGTTACAATTAATAATTATAATTCCTGACAATTATTGTTATATTAGTCAAATATTTAATATTAATTTAAAATTATTTAAAGTCTGATTACTAATATTATGCATTTTAAATTAATTAAATGAAATGTTTGTGCTTTATGCTTATGTATAAAATATGTTTGTTGTTTTGAATATTAAATACTCAAAAACATATATATTTAATTTTTTTTGTTTAATTAATTATTCGAGGACTTTGCAGATGTCTTAATCATGAGACAAAAATAATAATATCCCAGTTTTTTATAGCTTCATTAATATTATGAAACTGAATATGTAATTTTTATAATTATTGGTTACTTTTTTAAAAATATGTGTATATAAAAATTTAAACTTTAAATAACAATTCATTATGATGACGGAAGTCTTTTAATGAGTCATTTTGTGAATTCGCTTCGATCATTAATCCAAAAAATCCCCATCGGGTCGATCGTAGCTCTTTTGACCCACATCTGCATAGCAGAAGCAGTTTGCGTTGTGTTTTAGTCACCCGAAAGCGGAATCGTATGAATTTTAATTAGTTTACACAAATTTGGCAAACTGGATATGAATAAAAAAGCATATCAAAGAGAACCAGTATTTTTCGATATTTGTTTACAAAAATAAATGCACGCTTCACTAATATATGATTTGTTTACGAGTGCTCATTCAGAAGCATTGTATTTTTATGTACAAATTGTTTTAAATTTCAATACAAGCATAATTATTTATTTACATTATATTACTTTATTCTTTTCTTATATATTTCTAAGAATTGTTTATTTTTCTTTCCTCAATTCTTTCAACAGATTCTTGAATGGTCACAAATTTTTCATTTTCTAAAAGGTGGTTTGTTCTGTATTTTCAATTTAAATAGTATTGATAACTTTGAACTTTTGAACCAGAAGCACTAATTGTACTCAATTTATAAGAATTTCGTATAAATACCTTTAAATATAAGCTTGATCAATCTTGCTCGTGCTTCCATTAAATTACTCAATTTTTTACGTGTATTCTTCTGTTCAAGAAGAAATTAGGAACCAATTGCTTGACATTTAATATACTTTTCGATATACAGTGTGTAGTATGATGATAACCATCATTTCATATGGTCTGTTGCTTTATTTGTCTGATGAAGTCTTTAAAAAGTCCTGAAATATAGACAACTATGATTACTTTAACTGAATTATTTTTAAACTTTTCATTCATATTGCTTGGAAGCAAATGTGGTTGAGTATGCATAAGGCATAATTCAATATCGTTAATTTTTATATTTGTTATACATATTTAAATTTCATAAATAATTCCAAAAAAATTGAAGTTTAAGTCTCTTCAAGTCTATATATTCCATTATTATTTATTTTTGATACGGGTTTTAACAAAATTCATATATCAGAATTTCAGCCTGCCGAATTTCTTACATATTTTCTTAATGTGAACCAGTTGCATTAGGAATATTCTGATCAAAATATACAAATTTTGTTTATAGGAGTAGTATGTTAAACATTTTTGGAAAAATAGATTTCTCAAAAATTATAATTACTTGAGTTTCCAAATAAAAAACGTTACGACACTGTATGTGCGTTGTCTTTCAGCAAGTTAAAAAAAAAATACGGTTTAAAAATTTTACAAAACATTATTAAATGTTATAAAAAAATAATTTATATTAAAATATATACGGGAATATATAACGAGAAGGACACAAAACATATTTTGTTAATATATTACAAATTTTATTTCCATTAAATTTTTTATATAATTTTCGTTAATCTTGAAAAAAAAATTTTTTGAACTTATCTTTTTCACTTTATGAAGGAAGTCGTTTTTTTATATAGTTCATAGGTTAATTGTAATAAAAAGTTCATAAATTGCCAGAATCAGTAAACATTAAATTAAATCGAATGAGCATGATGTAATATTACCGAATCTTTCACTAATCTCTTAATAGGTTATTTAGTACATCAATTTCGAATTAAATGTGCCGTGGATAATGATTATTGGCTCATTAAATTTAAAAGCATTTGATATAATCTTAATCACATGAAAAACAAATACATTTTTATTTTATCAAATAAATAATTCTTTCATTTGAAATTTTAGAGAAAGATTCAATTCGTTAGTTTAGGAAGGTGTGGAAGAGATTTACAGCTAAACTCGAAGAAAATGAAAATATATGGAGAAAAAAAAAAAAAAATATATATATATATATATATATATATAATATGTATAGCCAAAATATAAGATGCTTCGATTAGATGATCTTAGATATGATTTATCGATAAAATTTATATCGCGAATTCTATTAGCAAATAGAGAATTTATAATTATCGCAGTAAGATTAACAAAATTTAATTAAACTTACACTAAGCAATGCACGAATTGTAGAAAATCTATATACATGTATGTATATTCTAATATTAGTAATATTGTAATAAAAAAGATGCCATCGTAGCATATATTTTATTATACTAAACGCAAAACATAAACATAACATTATCAACATTTATTTATAACTGGTTTTAGAAAATATTTATATTTAACAATCATGGCATGACAATTTCTAATAAACTTATTTATTTTTGTACGTCGAAAAGCGTCATAACTAAGTGCGCACATAATTTAGTGGAAATTCGTAATGACGTTTTTTGTGTATTTTTCAAAATATTTGTGTAGAAATAACAATATTATTTACGTTGATTAATTTGAAGTAATAAATTAGAAAAAATAAAAAACCACTGTTGATTATTGGAAAAATGAAATGAATTTATTTTAATAAAAACAACTTTTTAACTAAAATTATGACAATATATTAAGTATTAAAATTTATTAGATTAGGTCCATATTATTAATTAAATCTGTGATTTGCATCAATTTTTTTATTGTTCATCAAATTGTTTATTTTAATATCTATATAAATTAAATTTAAAGTATTATATCTGCTTCATTGTTGCATTTTAGTTTTTTTTTTTAATTTATTTGGATTTAAATTTCTAATTAGATGGTTGCAATCTAAGTAATAAAATTAGTCTCCCGCAAATTGAACTCACAACCTTTAATATTTATCAGTTTTAAAACGCTTAGCGACAACAAATTCAAAATTAATGCTTTATTAATGTAACATCTATAATTAAAAAAAAACTAGTAACAGTTTAGTAATATTAATATATTTCACCAAAGATTTACTACTTGGAATATTCATATTTCAGTTGATGATTCGGCAAATAAATAAATGTAAATTATAATAAAATTTTCCTAACAATAATTATCTAAATTTTGGACAAAACAAATATTTATTATCTCATCTTAAGTACGTAAGTAAAATTCGGAGTCATCACCGCACGTCAAATATGGTCCGATATTTAATAAAAATAAATATAAACAATAATTTGAGAATGAGATTAATAACATTTTATCGTAAACTCACTTATCAAAACATTCATTCAATGTTAATGAACATTAATCTTCTTCTGCATGAGGTCTTAGCAAATGCTGTAAATGATAACAAAATCGAGAAATTATAAAAAATGTAAATAATATAGCTTTCAATTAAGGTTTTATATTTCATTAAATATACCTTTTCACAATTTGTTATGCCATATATTTAAATCCATTTGCTCAACTAAGTTCTAATAAAAAAATATTAGATAGGATAGATGGACGAGTGGCATTTATATACATTTATTATTTGTTTGAGTTTGGGCATCAGAACCCCAAATATTGAGGTATTGTTTTTGAGCAGTTTATGAATCAAATTCTGTTTCTTATTTTATTAAAGCCTAAAAGTTTATATTTGTGTTCAAATCATCAAACCCTTTCACTAAAACACAACATTTATTAGAAATAAATATCTTTTTTTTATTCTCTTTATTGAATTACAATCTGTCTTTACAAAAAGGAAGACATTCAGTAATTTTGATGATATATGAAATATTAAACATTAAATCTACAAGGTTACCCAGTAGTAAGCCTTTTCACTTTTGATACATTAAATTTAAATTTTGTGTATAGAAGAAATAAAAATCTGATAAAATATTGATGATCGACCTAAGATATTAAATACACGTTATTTCTGATGTTCTGTAACATTTATCTTAGTAAACACAAAATTCAATATTTTTCATATAATACATTCTTTAATTTCTAGTCTATTTTTAATATATAGTCATTTTTATTTCTATACAACTCTGAATTATTACTAATTTTTATGATGTAATAAGTTTTTCGGTTCACATATGATGATACTGAGTTATTAATAGATAAGAGTTCGATTATCGACGAGGTTGAAATTTAACAAAAAATACCCGAAAAATGTTGATGCATATATATTTTCTTATCTAAAATGAAAATAAATTTATTTTTATAGTTATTTTTTCACTTTTGCAAAGCGTAATGAGTTTAACAAATAAATCAAATAATACAATCTTGCGTGTTTATGATATTTTTTATAATACTGCGGCTATACCTTTTTATTCATGATTATTTTCATTTTAAATTAAATTCCAATATATAAATAGTAGAAGAGTTGATGAATAAAGGACATTGATTTCTTAATAATGAATATTTAATTAATTCAAAAATATGAACATTCGATTTAGCAATATTTATTTTAACAACGTACTGAAAAAAACATTATTTAATTAAATTCCTTATAGATCTGAAATATAGTCTCTTAACACTATTATTAATTATTGAACAATTACAAACATGTGCAAGCATTATTATAATTTTCAAATAAAATGTTCTAAACATAACAAATTTCAAAAATCCCCTTATTTGTGATATTTTTGCAATCAACTTCCTACGAATTAAAGATAAAAATTTTGCACAGTAAGTCGTTTCGTGCTAATTGATCTTTGTACCGGTAACTCGATAGGTATATTTCTTACATCAAAGGCGTCATATATGATTCACTAATTTACGTCATAGTGTAGTGAATTTATGTTATGTCTGCTATATCATTTATTAGAATTGTTAGTTGCCAATCATTAATAACTTAAAGAATTGACGCGGTTCTTGATTGCTCATAAACGCATTTGAATTGTTAATGTTATTCATTTATATAAGTATAAAGCGCAATACAGCGACTAAAGAAACTGAAAAACTATTTTATGGCAATCTAAATTTGTTCAACAATGATTTAAATTAGTTAGAATAAAGCCATGATAAAATATTAAGAGTAGTGCTGGGCAATCGATGATAACATAATTTAGTAATTAAACTGATGAAGAACTAAGCTTATCGCATCTGATTGTTGAAAAAGTCTTTTCATTCGAACTAAAGTCATTTATTGATATTTGGTACACATTTACTGTTTTCAATACAGAATAATTAGTATTCTCAGTTTTTTAATATTCTATACAACTACACACCTTTGAATTTCATCATACAAATTATAAAACCATAGTGTATGATTCCTTATAATATATAAGCTAATACAAAATTGCAACATTTATCAAATATCTATGATACGTTTTGACAAAAAATCGGTAAAACCTCCATACTGCTCTAAATGTAATATTTTTAGATGTATTTTGACCATCTTCAAGCTTTCTGAGACAATTAAGTGTAAAATATTTTTAGGCCCAGTTTTAAAATCTTTACTGATTTTATTTACATTTAATGCGAATTTTTATAATTCCTGATATCTAAAAATTAATTTATATTTAATAATTTGATTTAGATTTTTCCATTTCTATCCATTTATTAAAATCAGTCTCTCATATACAATTTTTAATAAATGTTTATTGGGTTTTTGATCCATGCACAATTTTCTGAATTTATGTTATTGTTATTGCTATTTTGATCGAGCAAAGATTAGATTTCCATAGCAAAAACAAAATTTCCGGAAATGTTAAAGATTAAAAAGATAGTTAACATCACATATTTTTTATAGAAAATTTGTTAAATAAGTATTAATTTGAATCAAATGAATCCCATCATTAAAAATTAATAATAAATTTGTATTAATTTTGCTAAATAATAGATATAAGAAATTTAGGCTTTAACTACACTAAAAAAAATTCTTGCCTACAGGGACAAGAAAATTTTAAAAATATTAATTCTGCAGAATTAATTATCAAGACTAAATTATCAATAAGAATTATCAATTCGAACATGACAATATAATGATATATCATCATTGTGCATTATGAAACTGTAGGTTTCTAAACCTAATAATTTGGTGTTAATTTTTTTTTAATTGTTTTTTTTATTTACATTTGCAAATTACAATCTGTCGTTCTTATACAACATTCAGTAATTTTGATGGTATATTAAATAAAGGAAAAAGGTCGAAAGGTTACCCATTGGTGATCCGATTCGATGTTGGATGTGGTGTTAAATTTTTATTTTTATTTTCTGTTCATTATTCAACATTTGAGTAAACAATCTATCCAGTTCTAGTGCAATGAACTACGGTTGTCTGTAGAACTGGAGGTAAACACGTGTTTTCGCACACTCTCTAATTCGCTATACAGACTCAATAAAAACATTATAGGAGTCCTACAATAACAGGTTAACGGCAACTGACAGTAATTCCCCGTTCTTCGCATGTCGAAGACACGTGCCATAACAATAATTAAAATAATTATGGATTGGGAAGGGAGAATAAATAAAATTTAAAGCATTATTGGCTACACAAACGATTTTGTAGTATAGTACAGTTTGACAAATGTTTCTTGGGATATGTTTCCTGTAAATATACCTCACAATGTAATGAAGATTCTATACTAACATAGTTATATTTACAATTATGTATCTAAAGACATGATAAATTATTTTTGTTTCAATATGACTTCAATTATCCCAAAATTTGTGCTGTTGGTTGACAAAATAACTTAAAAATTAAAAAATACTCTTATATCTAAATGCACCATATTCAAAAAATACGCTGTTGTTTCTAAGATTTCGAAATTATCTCAAAAAGTTCATTTTTTGGACATATGCTATCTCCTACAATTTCACAATTGGTTCTATGATTTTGCATATTCTTTATTATATCGCTATTACTCCTGGAGGATTATTATATTTTTTTTACTATCGTATTAACTAAATTTAACAACATTTTTTTTATTAAGTTCATTAGTATGTAGTACTACTACATACTAATGGAATATTTTATTTTACATTTCAAGATCAGAATTTATTTTTTGAATCTTACCATTACCATTTTCACCATAGTCTTTTTAATTCTGCAATGTTAATGCAATAGTTTTTTTAATTCTACAATGTAATTAGATTGTAAGCTCATTCTTTTTCCTACTGGAACTAATTATGTCTGTTTTTTGAGTACATAGCCCCCTTAGAAAATCTTGTATATTGTGATACAGAATTATTTACAGACTGCCTTAAAATAAGAAGTCAACGACCCCCTCAAAAAATAGAAAATTTTTCTTATTAGTGATTTTTTTAACCTTTACAGAATGATGTACATATTTTTTTAACGTATAATTATGATCAGATAAAATTACTAATAATTATTTTTCTAATACAAATATTTGTGAATCATTTGTATGTGCGAGTTGATAAGCAGTGATAAGAAGCGTTACATGAATTTAGTGCTTTACATCAGGCGGAGTATTTATCATGGGGAATCCAAACCTTTAGTTCAATTCTGAAACTGTGATTTTTCTACAGTCGTCACATTAATGGTTGTGAGAAACATAAGGGGGCGTCCATTAATCACGTGAGCGAGCTTTTAAGGATCTTTGGACCCTCCCTCCCCCTTGCGTACACGGTGATTTTCAAAATTTTTTCCCTCACCCACCAAACATCACGTGTATATTTAGTTAGTTATTAAAAACTGAAATTGAAACATTTTTAAAATAACGGTTAAAAAATAAATACACGTGATGTTGTACTATACCCCCCCTCCCCCACCTGATATTTCGTAATTTTTTGTCAAACCCCTCATCCCCTTAAAAACCTCACGTGATTAATGGACGCTCCTTAAATATAAATTATTATTGTTCAGAATTGACTTATTACGGGTCCTGGCTTCGTATCAAATTTCTTGGGCGCTCTCACGAAGGGCAAAAATTTCTTACAAAATGAAAAACATTTCACACTATTAAAAAAAATATTATTTTCATTATTTTTCATCAATATCAGTTGTCACTTTTCCAAAGTATTTTTTTTTTCAAATAAAATTGTTCGCCTACGTGAAATTAAAGTCCAAAGTGAACCATATAAATTTATAATGGATTTCAAGTACATTCTTATCATTGCGTATGCAACTTGTACAAAATTTACTCGATGCCTGTTCGTATGTATTTTTAGTTTTTCGTGTATTTTTTATTTATTTATTTCTTTATTTATACATTAATCATTTGATCAATTTTTCAATAAATTGTTGCATCTTTATCAATAATTTCTGCAAGGTTTGTCGACCCTGATCGCTTTCGATTCGCGGTTCTTCCCGGCCCTAACCTACCGCCAATGACCGTATTTTGCGGACGCCGTCTGGGACATATAAGTGATCGGCAGAGTACAAGGCGTTATCACTCTCTAAGTATCTCGCGTCGAAAACACTTGTACGAATTTTGTTATTTAATTATTGTTTACAACATACAATCAGCTGATTGTATTGACAATTGAGGCAAATTAAAAGATAAAGATGCAGAGTTTTCGTGATCAGATCGAAGAAGATCTTTGAAATCATTTCAGTGAAGTGATGTGATTTTTTACATTTCATAAATTGAACTAATTAAGAAATACTATTGCAATGGGGCAGTGTTTTTTCTCAAAATGTCATAATGATTAAATTGGTGTAAATAATAGTGTCATGTACAAAGGGCTAAATTCAAGAAACCGTATATATGAATAGATGAATAAAATAACGATATTAATTTGTTAGTGGATCACTGCAACCGTGCGATTTCGAGAAACAATTAGTGACAAATTTATTTAAAATGGGTTATAGATCAGTGTTTTCGTAGTTCATTTTCTCCCGTGAGACTAAAACTGTGACAAAAACTTTAATTTTAGCCCAAAACTGTGATGTGATGGTCGTCAAAATCGAGCCCGTCTCTTCTTCCAGCGAAATGCATAATTCTCCAAGGGATCCCCAAAGATCGACAGTGAAGCACGTTGGAAATGACATAAATATATCCTTGAATTCAAATCCAAATGATCTGATCTTGGTGGGAAACAAATCCCGCGTGGACATCCAAACCAATGAAGGAAGTGTTAAAATAATTGGTGATTATTGTAAAGTACGGATCCTTTGCAATTTGGGAAGTGTCCGTTATGTTGGCAACAAAGGAACTGTGGTAATTGGAAATGATTCGGTTTCCCATGATGTTAAATATACAGGAAACGGTGGAAATTTGAAATATCGTGATGGAACTGATATGGACAGCAAAAAATTTACACAAACCTTGGAAGACGATCGAGGGAAGAAGAAACGTAGCAAAAAATATTCTAGAATTTATAATTCTGATAGTGCTTTGAATGCTGATGCCATTTTAATTAATTGTAATAAGTATTTAAATGATTATCCAGTTAATTTTAACTGCAGATCCACCGAATGTTTTATCACGAGCGGAGCAGTTTACACAACTACCCCTTGTATATCCGTAGTCAATGGAAATGTTACAATTAATAATTATAATTCCTGACAATTATTGTTATATTAGTCAAATATTTAATATTAATTTAAAATTATTTAAAGTCTGATTACTAATATTATGCATTTTAAATTAATTAAATGAAATGTTTGTGCTTTATGCTTATGTATAAAATATGTTTGTTGTTTTGAATATTAAATACTCAAAAACATATATATTTAATTTTTTTTGTTTAATTAATTATTCGAGGACTTTGCAGATGTCTTAATCATGAGACAAAAATAATAATATCCCAGTTTTTTATAGCTTCATTAATATTATGAAACTGAATATGTAATTTTTATAATTATTGGTTACTTTTTTAAAAATATGTGTATATAAAAATTTAAACTTTAAATAACAATTCATTATGATGACGGAAGTCTTTTAATGAGTCATTTTGTGAATTCGCTTCGATCATTAATCCAAAAAATCCCCATCGGGTCGATCGTAGCTCTTTTGACCCACATCTGCATAGCAGAAGCAGTTTGCGTTGTGTTTTAGTCACCCGAAAGCGGAATCGTATGAATTTTAATTAGTTTACACAAATTTGGCAAACTGGATATGAATAAAAAAGCATATCAAAGAGAACCAGTATTTTTCGATATTTGTTTACAAAAATAAATGCACGCTTCACTAATATATGATTTGTTTACGAGTGCTCATTCAGAAGCATTGTATTTTTATGTACAAATTGTTTTAAATTTCAATACAAGCATAATTATTTATTTACATTATATTACTTTATTCTTTTCTTATATATTTCTAAGAATTGTTTATTTTTCTTTCCTCAATTCTTTCAACAGATTCTTGAATGGTCACAAATTTTTCATTTTCTAAAAGGTGGTTTGTTCTGTATTTTCAATTTAAATAGTATTGATAACTTTGAACTTTTGAACCAGAAGCACTAATTGTACTCAATTTATAAGAATTTCGTATAAATACCTTTAAATATAAGCTTGATCAATCTTGCTCGTGCTTCCATTAAATTACTCAATTTTTTACGTGTATTCTTCTGTTCAAGAAGAAATTAGGAACCAATTGCTTGACATTTAATATACTTTTCGATATACAGTGTGTAGTATGATGATAACCATCATTTCATATGGTCTGTTGCTTTATTTGTCTGATGAAGTCTTTAAAAAGTCCTGAAATATAGACAACTATGATTACTTTAACTGAATTATTTTTAAACTTTTCATTCATATTGCTTGGAAGCAAATGTGGTTGAGTATGCATAAGGCATAATTCAATATCGTTAATTTTTATATTTGTTATACATATTTAAATTTCATAAATAATTCCAAAAAAATTGAAGTTTAAGTCTCTTCAAGTCTATATATTCCATTATTATTTATTTTTGATACGGGTTTTAACAAAATTCATATATCAGAATTTCAGCCTGCCGAATTTCTTACATATTTTCTTAATGTGAACCAGTTGCATTAGGAATATTCTGATCAAAATATACAAATTTTGTTTATAGGAGTAGTATGTTAAACATTTTTGGAAAAATAGATTTCTCAAAAATTATAATTACTTGAGTTTCCAAATAAAAAACGTTACGACACTGTATGTGCGTTGTCTTTCAGCAAGTTAAAAAAAAAATACGGTTTAAAAATTTTACAAAACATTATTAAATGTTATAAAAAAATAATTTATATTAAAATATATACGGGAATATATAACGAGAAGGACACAAAACATATTTTGTTAATATATTACAAATTTTATTTCCATTAAATTTTTTATATAATTTTCGTTAATCTTGAAAAAAAAATTTTTTGAACTTATCTTTTTCACTTTATGAAGGAAGTCGTTTTTTTATATAGTTCATAGGTTAATTGTAATAAAAAGTTCATAAATTGCCAGAATCAGTAAACATTAAATTAAATCGAATGAGCATGATGTAATATTACCGAATCTTTCACTAATCTCTTAATAGGTTATTTAGTACATCAATTTCGAATTAAATGTGCCGTGGATAATGATTATTGGCTCATTAAATTTAAAAGCATTTGATATAATCTTAATCACATGAAAAACAAATACATTTTTATTTTATCAAATAAATAATTCTTTCATTTGAAATTTTAGAGAAAGATTCAATTCGTTAGTTTAGGAAGGTGTGGAAGAGATTTACAGCTAAACTCGAAGAAAATGAAAATATATGGAGAAAAAAAAAAATATATATATATATATATATATATATATATATATATATAATATGTATAGCCAAAATATAAGATGCTTCGATTAGATGATCTTAGATATGATTTATCGATAAAATTTATATCGCGAATTCTATTAGCAAATAGAGAATTTATAATTATCGCAGTAAGATTAACAAAATTTAATTAAACTTACACTAAGCAATGCACGAATTGTAGAAAATCTATATACATGTATGTATATTCTAATATTAGTAATATTGTAATAAAAAAGATGCCATCGTAGCATATATTTTATTATACTAAACGCAAAACATAAACATAACATTATCAACATTTATTTATAACTGGTTTTAGAAAATATTTATATTTAACAATCATGGCATGACAATTTCTAATAAACTTATTTATTTTTGTACGTCGAAAAGCGTCATAACTAAGTGCGCACATAATTTAGTGGAAATTCGTAATGACGTTTTTTGTGTATTTTTCAAAATATTTGTGTAGAAATAACAATATTATTTACGTTGATTAATTTGAAGTAATAAATTAGAAAAAATAAAAAACCACTGTTGATTATTGGAAAAATGAAATGAATTTATTTTAATAAAAAACAACTTTTTAACTAAAATTATGACAATATATTAAGTATTAAAATTTATTAGATTAGGTCCATATTATTAATTAAATCTGTGATTTGCATCAATTTTTTTATTGTTCATCAAATTGTTTATTTTAATATCTATATAAATTAAATTTAAAGTATTATATCTGCTTCATTGTTGCATTTTAGTTTTTTTTTTTTAATTTATTTGGATTTAAATTTCTAATTAGATGGTTGCAATCTAAGTAATAAAATTAGTCTCCCGCAAATTGAACTCACAACCTTTAATATTTATCAGTTTTAAAACGCTTAGCGACAACAAATTCAAAATTAATGCTTTATTAATGTAACATCTATAATTAAAAAAAAACTAGTAACAGTTTAGTAATATTAATATATTTCACCAAAGATTTACTACTTGGAATATTCATATTTCAGTTGATGATTCGGCAAATAAATAAATGTAAATTATAATAAAATTTTCCTAACAATAATTATCTAAATTTTGGACAAAACAAATATTTATTATCTCATCTTAAGTACGTAAGTAAAATTCGGAGTCATCACCGCACGTCAAATATGGTCCGATATTTAATAAAAATAAATATAAACAATAATTTGAGAATGAGATTAATAACATTTTATCGTAAACTCACTTATCAAAACATTCATTCAATATTGGCAAATTTTTTTTGTATACATATTATATTCATAATGGTTTCAAATTAGAGCATCTTACAATACAATATCCTGGACCTATAATTTTCAAATATTTCAAATTTTACAAAAAAAAACATTTGCCACACTTTTGTGCATTCATAATTTATATTCATGTTTATTACTATGTCATTTCATTAATCAATTCCATTATCGAATCAGTAATAGGTAATTCACAAAATTCTTGAACCATATGAGGAAATTCATAATCTCATTCTCGCTCATTATTAGTTCCTTATATCTGCGACATCAAATTTTTATCAAATTTCAAACAAATTGTGATTTCAATTTTTTTTAATTAGATAGTTTTATTACATCAGAAATATAAATGAGGTCATATTTCAGACTGATGCGCAATTATGCAGTACGATTCTAGATCATGAAGTGATTGTATAGAATTTGAAACCTACTTTTTTATAAAATTTTGTCTAAAGTACGACTATATTAAATTTTATCACGCCCTGGATAAGAATTATTAGATTAATTAATGAAATAAATAGTTCAATGTTTTGGATAGATAATAATTTCGCGGTGATTGTGAAAATATCTTGTTAGTGTATCATTATTATTTGCATGTATAATTCTGCGTTGCTCTATAAGTACAAGTGTACTTTTGAATAAAAGCATAAATGTACATATATATATATATGAATATATATATAAAACTTTCTTACGTTTTGACGTAAAAATATATCTAAAAAATAATGTTGATGATTTAAGATATAGTGTTGAAGTTGTGAGATGTAAAATATTAAAGTTTTTATTGCCAATATTTATGTAGACTGTAAAAAAGCAACTTTTAAATTAAAATATTTAAAATCACGTCAAATTTTTTTAAATTATAATTTTTGCAATTCTTAAATACTACAACTTGGATATACTAAATGATTTTACAAAGTGTCTGTCTTACAAATTTTTAGCTAGAAAAATTTTTTTTTTCAAATCTCAGGTTTTTTAAATAAGATTTAAAAACCTTTGCGGAAGAGCTTTAGGAAGGCAGGGTTATCTTTTATGGTTTTGAATGACAAAATTATAAGGAGTTTTAGATAACATATCCAATCATACATAAATAGAATTAATTGATTGTAATTTAACGGGTATATTGTAACAAATTGTTCAATTAATGTCAAACATTCATAATTCTATATTTAGCTGTTGTTTACCGATCGTACATTAGATAACATTTATAAAAAATGATATATGTGCCCTTCTAGATCAAATTTAACAATATGTCTCATTAAAATAAGTATCAACAGTTTGTAGTCATTTAATGTCATCATGATAAGCGCATTATAATTTTATTATGCGTAAATTTTGCGATGTTGTATTTTTAAATAAAAAATAGTATCCTCGCAATTCGTTATCTCTTTGGCTTATAAACATGGACACTTACTAGATTTTTTTTAAATATTTTCCGCGATTAATTTAGTATGAGAGATAAGAAATTTGTGGGAAAAATACTCATTTCAGTAATATGATCAGAAAATCATATAAATTGGAAGTTATTACTCTATCTTGGATGCAGAAGCTATTTTGCATTAAACAAATCAATTTTTATAAACAATATAAATATATAATATTAACGTTTTAAGTGATTTTGAATCGACCCCAAATTTGGGAGGAGAGTGTTTGAGCAATAGTGTAGGAGAATATTTTAACATTTTGTGTTAAATGTTGAGTCTTAGTATACATCAACAAATGTGTTCCTAGGACCAAGAAATAAAATATAATATATAAATAAAAAAATAATACTGCTATTTCTAAAACCTAATCGAAGATGCTAAATGACTTATTACGCTTGAAGAAAAATGACGAAACAAAAAATATTATTGCTAGAAATGTAATCAAAACTTGCAATCTAGCTCCTACTCTATTTTCATTGCAACAAAATTATTGTTCATAGTTATTATTCGCAATTTTATGGAGGGGGTGTGTGTTTTTCTTAAAAGATATAAATATTTGCTTAGATTGCTACACTAAATCAGTTGTAAACTTGATTTTGAACTTGTATATCAATTAAAAAAGAAAACAGTGACATTTGGATTAAAATATTTTATTTAAAACTCATGAGAATAAATTAATCAGGTATAGATTTTGATACCAAATTAATAATTATTAATATTAATATTTTAGCAAAATAGTTGTTTCGCGCATAATTTTTGGAGAAAGAAATTGAATAGTTTGTGATAACAAAATTAAAATTATTTTTACGCTTATTGTTAATAATTTTATGATTTTTATGGATAGATTAATTTGAATTTTTTAAAATTCTCAAAGCTATAGATACTTATTTCAAATATTTTTGATATATCTTTTTGTTTTAAAAAATTAAACTTTGTTAACAATAAAGACGAATAATTAGATGATTAAAGAGTAGAATTCACAAAAATATATGCGAATTAAATATATATATATATATATATATATATATATATATATATAAGTGTATTTGTCAATATAAGCGTTATATATAATTTATCTTATGTATATGTTGAATTATAATTGGAATTAAGAAAAGGTTAAACTGAATTTTGCAAGATTTTATTTTGACATTGATAACTTATGGAAGATTTTTTCCCAATGTTTTTAGTATTTAAAAATTTACGTAGATTGCGAAACACTTTTTTACAAATTATGTTTTAGATTTGAGCCCAAGTCGAATATCTATAAATGCATATTTTAATTTCATTAAAAATCATAATTATTAACAATGAAAGTTATAGTATTTGTACTAAAATTTCAATTTAAATAAAAAATAGTGCACTTAAAAATTTAAAAAAATATTAAATATCTTTAGTTTCAAGTAAATTACACTTATCAACACAAAATTTCTTGTTTATTTGATCAGTATTTAAAAATGTATGATATGAATTCAATATGACTCAAATGCATATGCTATCATTTTTATTGCTCTATCTTCTTTCAAAAATTGGTATGCCATGATAATATAATATTTATTATATATTATATTATATTAATTAGACATTAGATTGTTGAACTATATCTTTTAATTACGAAAAATCTGCATTTTAATTTTTTCAAACTAGACATCTATTATTTATTCGAATTAAAAACAACAAAACAAAATAATCAAATCTTGTTTAATTATTGTGTAATGGTCATGGTAAACACTTATTGTCATTTCTCTCAAAATTTCTCTGTTATCATCTTAATATTTCGTCTGCGGTTTCGTCTTGCCATTAAAAAATTAACATGACAAAAAAACAGCAATAAAACATTTGAGATAAATATTGGAGTCTTGAAGAAATACTTATATATCAGTATCGCTAACACAGCATTCTCCACATTCAGTATCAATATTTCATTCCAGCAACAACTTGGCGCAGATGTAGAAGTGAGTGATGTGATAAAAGACTGAAATATAATAAAAAAATAAAACAAATTAGTGAAGCCGATACAAAACCAAGAAGCAAGTGCAAATATAAATTTATCATCGATCTGCAACATTAGTTATTTTATTTATCAAAAATGACGGCCGTACGTTCGATGGACGCTGACAAGCCGCTCCTGGGTCACAAGAAGTCATCAGGATTTTTGGAGATCGCAATAGCCGCTTTAAGGATCTCTTCGACTCCAGTTAAAGTGCCTTCTAGTGGATTGATGAAAACAGATTTAAAAGGACAGGATGATAGACATGGACCCATTTTTACATTAGATCAAGTATCCTACCATGATCAACCCGACGATTGCTGGCTGATAATATATGACCGCGTTTATGACGTTACGGAGTTCTTATCAAAGGTTAGTCGGCGGTTTCATGTTACGCAAATTTAAATTTGCCATTTTTTTTAAAAAAAGTGATGTAATAAAAGTTTTCCTTTCGTGTATTTAAGTTTTGTTAAGTTAATAGGTTGGTGATTGAAATTAAAAAACATTTGGCATCTTTGAATTGAAATTTCTAAATCTAAATAAATTTTTTAAATTGCTTGCCGGTGAGCAATTTCATTTAAATTTCACACAGTTATTTGAATTTTAACAAATATTTTTCAACAAAAAGTGATACTATGGGATTTGTATTTATAACTAGAATTATATATGGTTATTTGCGGTATGGATGTCATAAGTGTCTGATCACAGCACTAAAAGGTGAAATATTTCTATTTTTGTTTTTCAAGTTTTATACTTGCAAACTTTAAATTTATCGAAATTTTCAAATATTCGATCTTTTCAATTTTTGTTAAAAATCTCAAGTACTTTAAAAATGATAAATGTTATATAACCACAATACGAAAAGTTTGATCAATTTGCTCTAATGCACGATCGTTCCCATCACAAGTTTTACTTCAACAGAATTGTTATTTAATTTCTTCTGGTGTTTCTATGAGGATTACCATCTCTATGACGCACAACTATCGATCTGTATCACTATTACGCTTTATTATCATTGACCTAGAACAAATCCATATAAAAAGCCTTGAACTTTAGAAGTTTATTTTGATAAATTGATCTTTCCCTATATCTATAAGAAAATCGCAAATTTGATAGTTTTCAAACCAATTAGGAATAATTACAAAATTTATTAAATTTATCAAAAACAAATACGTTTGTGCTGATCGATAAGTATTATGTGTCAGTAACAAATGATTACCGAGCGTTAAATGGATGCAAATCAATCAATGTCAAAACTTATTGACATATTGATATAATTATAATTCAAATCGATATTTGATTTCCAGTTCACTTCGGATTTAATTTCAATGAAATTATCTCAATTGCTCTAATTTATTGTTTTACGGATTTTTTCCAATGCCAAATGGTTTTCATACCGCGGAGACAATTCATTATCTTATATATTTTAGTTATAATCAATATTTATTGCATCACAAATTATAAAAAAATGCTGTTGAAATAATTACAATATATATTAGCCATTTTATTTATAAAAGTCGTTACTTACTTTTTTTATAAATTTCATAAAGTATTTTAAAATTTATCATCCTGTGAAATCTTTGATGTAAATACAAATACATAAAAAAATTTAAAATGATTATAAGCAGAACTATTTAATTATAAAAAATAGAAGTTTTACGCTAATAACTATCTACTGGTTTAATTGATTAACAACATATTTGTTGCCTCCCCAAGTTAATGAGTTATATGCAATTTTTTACTTTCAATTTTCAAAATTAATATTAAAAATATGACCAAAGTATACATTTTTATAATTGTAAAAAAGCAAAGTTATATCTTGAGATTTCCACAAAAACCTCACAATCATTTCGAATGGTTCATTTAAAATTATAAAAATTCATATTGTACACAATTTCGTTAAAAGATTCACAAAAATCACCATTGCAAATAGAAAATTTAAGATTTTTTTCACATTTTACTCCAGCATCCCGGAGGATCAGACATAATGCTCGAATACGCTGGAAGAGATGCCAGCATGGCTTTTAGGGGAGTCGGGCACACTACGGCTGCCCTGAATGCCCTAGAAAAATACAAAATCGGTCAACTGCCCCAGAGCGAATGCATATTCAGGACGTCTACAGGACTGAGATTGAGTGGAATACCTGATTGATAAAGTGGAAGATTTATGCAGAATAATTATAAGTGAATAATAGAATGGATCAACAAATTAATCTATATAAGTTAATTGATGACTTGGAGATCATCAGAAGATAGTGTCTTCAGAATTATTCTATATAACATATAAACCTAATATAAAACTATATTATATATATATATTTACACTTTACTAACTATAATTTGGTTAGAATTTGTCAAATTGACCAAACTCACTAGAATGTCAAATTGACCAAACTCACTAGATAATCCTGCTTCGATTGGATTAACAGTTAGTTTATAGTTTATGCATATTTATTTATAATTTATATTTATATATAGTAAATGAAGATGCAAATGTAACTTGAAAGTTACATAATTTCAATTTTTCTCTAATGAGAATTTAGAAACCTTTGTAAATGTTTATTTAAATTATTTATATTATTTAAATTATTGTTTTGTACTAATAAATTATTTGTATATTTAAAATATTTGTATTTGCTACATTTATAGTAGTGTAAATTACTATTTTATAACATGAAAATATATTTTTGTTATTGCTGACGCAAAAACTAAATCTTTTACATCTTAATCTCTTTTGCGTATGGTCTATTTTTTTAATACTAAAATTATACATTTTTAGAAATAATTATAGATAAACTATTCGGCAAAAATCTAGACGAATTTTGAAAATTCAAAAACTGTTCGAAATATATCAGTTAGAATGGTGCTGATTAGTTTTTAGCATGGATCGGCCTGACCGAACATTTGCAATTAATAAATAAAATTTGTTTTGACGATTTTATGAAACTCTGTATCATAATAAGATTTAAGGTGTTAACAAACATCTTACTTACAGGCCTAAGAGAGGTTGAATTATAGAAAATCGTTGAAGTTTCAAACTTCTCCATCAAAATTTCAAAATCACACAAACTATATTATTATTAATTTAAAAGTTGCTTAATTTCAATTAATGAGTAATGAGCGAGTCAAATATTTACAAATTTATATGCAAAATTCTACTTACACCACACTATCAATTACTCTAACAACTATTCTCATTGTTCAAGATGATCAAACACCTTAATAAAAATCCAGATTGAAATAAATTCATTCCTGTAAGCTATGCATATTTGCTTCCTGTAAGCTTATTATTGCATGTATATATATACGATAATGAAAGATTGCTTTACATTATTAGTTAATTTATTTTTCATATAAATCATATCAAGCAGTACACATTAAGGTAATATTATTAATAATCTAAACGGTATTTAATATTTAAAAAATATAATATCAATGTAATAATAGTATGGCAAGAAAATAACAACAATACAAAATAATTTAGTTACATCTGAAGTCTAAATGTGTATTATAGCTTCGCTTTAATAATATATCGTATTTTCCTCAGCACTGCCCACTGTTATAATTTTCTCTTTATCAGAGAAATTTCTCTCTTCTTTCTTTATAAATATTTGCTTCGATTAAAAACATCGAATAAAATAAATTATACCAAAAAACAGTGCTTTTGCGATAAGTTTCATTTTAAAAATATCTTACATGCGACATCGACGTGTCTTACTTAATTTAGATAACTAATAGTAACATTATTTACAAGCAAAATTATACGTGATAATTTCAAACTGGGTTGTGTTGTCGTTTAAAATACCCTGAAGTATTTTTATAATTTAAATTGATTGCATTTTATTTTGTTAAGTACTTAGTCGATTTAGGTATCGACTCAAATAATAAATATGCAATCGGGAAATATATACATTTTTATAACTAATTATAAAACAATATTAAATTAATCTCAAATATACAATGTAACTCTAAACGAAATTAACAGAACCAAATAAATCAGGTATATATGATTTCACTTTGTATGGCTAACGATTTCTTTTTTTTTCTTTTAATATCTAATAAGATTAAATATATATTTTTCTTTTATATAATAATGGTATACCTTGCATTTTACAATAACATACTATCATGAGCTTACGACCTGGGGCTTAAAAGCTCAAAGCTCGCAGAGCTTTCAACTTAATTAATTTCGATCGTTCTCAATTAAAGGTTTTGTAATAGAATACAGAATCATGTTGAGGTGCGTTATATATATTTTTTAAAATTTGACGCACATTTAATGCGTATAGGAACTATAATGCCTGACGTTTTGTAAATAAAAATTTTGTCATTACATCGTGAAAAACAAAATTTTTATCGCAAATACGCCTAAGGCTGTTTTACAGAAGGCACGGCGTTCCTCAACAATAATTTCAAGCACATTTATATAGATTACTAGTTGACATGTGTAACATTTACAAAATCGGCGCAATCAGGTTAATTTTTTCTATCTATTCGTATACATTCTGAGGACAACTGTATGCTAATTTATTTTTGGATTTTTTAAAAATTGTGTTTTATTCTAAAATCTCGGATCTATATCTAAAATTTATAGCAGTACCGATCTCACATGTCACCGTAAAGATTCTAAATTGTAAACGTTCTTATCAGATAATATTTAATATATTGTATACATTATAGTTTTGTATTTCTAAATTTTCTAAAGGCTATTAAGTATACGATTTGTATTTTTATTTTGTTAATTTAATGTATAGGATTGTTTTTGGACTGTGATTCATAAACGAAGATTCTAGATATTGCCTACATCAACCCTATCGCAGACATAAATATATTGAACTTTTCATCTTTCCCACAAACAAATTCAGTTTAATTTATCAGCAGAATTTATATCAATATATGTGAACTAATTAATGGAAACTATGTGAATACAATATATCTTTGCCTGCGATGAGGACATTAAAAAATAAATTTCATCACACAAAATATTTGTCTGTTACGTGTAAGCTCGCTCTATTTTTTGTAAACTAAAACTGAACACAAACCTTATAACAATGTAGATTCAAATCGATGAATAATTTACATAAGTTTAGAAAAAAACACACCGAAAACTTATTCCACGCGAACAATATGCAATTCCACTTTCGAACGATACGATCATTTCGCGCTTATTACAAATAAACAGTAATAATATATTTATGTAATAACGAGCATAATGAATTGAAAATTTTATTCATAAAATGAAATATTTTTATATTTTTTAACAATTGTTTGATCAAGTGTCTAAAATGCGGAATGATCATATCTTACAAAGGCAGTTTAATAATTCAACAACGAAGACTAAAAAGCAACTCAACGAATTCCGAATATAATTTTTTCAAACAATATATACTTACAAATTTTTAGTAAAAATAATTTATATAACTTAACTGCAGACCCTATGTTTTAACGCAATTTTTGAAATTTGAAATGGAAATAATCATACTAAAATATTTTAATGATTAATGACTTTTGTTTGCTTTTAGAGATGATTAGCTCTACATGTAAAGACTATAAGTATCGTGTATTCAACAACAATTATTCAACAACAGTATAATTCTAAATCTATGTCATTTAACTTTTCCATTGGCTTAAATCTATAACATTTAACTATTCACAAATTTTTATTTTTTGTCAGATTGATGGAGGTAAAAAAATCTTTTAGCATAAATAAAGGAAGCCTTTGGGAAGCATTGTATATATGCAGTGTATATTATTATAATTTATTATTAAATATGTGCATTTAATCTACGCTAAATTATTTATTAACTATTTGGAGTACCTGAATTAATACCAGTAACATGTTAAGTAGATTTATATGTAAACCCGTTTAATTTATGATTATATTTACGATTTAACTGATAACATTTGACTAATATTTGTAAACTTTGTGAGATACATTAAAACACATTTAAGCATTTACGATTAATAGCTTTTTGTACTGTATTTTGATAAATCTTAATTGCATAATGAGGTTAAATAGAGAATGTTGACTTGTACTTCATTGGTATTGAAAGTTATTCAAAATTTCTAATTCTTTAATTTTTTTAAAAGATAATAGCGAATGGAGTTTTTATTTATAAAAAATTGGAATTAAAATCATCAGTTGATTTTGGACTCAAGGAAGCATGTGGGAAGTATTAAACTTGTTTATTCTGTTGGCATTTAAAAAAACTGTTATCATCAGTTCTTTCTATCAAAAAATTCAAGTAAGGGTTACGCACTTAAAAAAAACAGTCTATGACTTTCATTAATTTTAAATATTCTATATCTATATGTTTATATTATTGCAATTTTCATTATAAAATTCTTGTTTGTTTTCTAAACTCTGTTCATAATCATAAATTTTTCTTTTGAATTTCCTAAGTACGGTTTTGATTTTCTTCAAAATTAAGTTTGGCCAAAATCAATTAAAATGTAGAAAAATGTTAGTGGAACACATTGATCATTTTATGATTTACCGTATACATTTGTAATTGATCAAGTAAGAAATCGTATAAGTTTAAGGCAGTCCATTTGTATTTTTAATTTGCATTGACGGTCGTCGTAGCAATGTAAATGACTGAGTTGCAAATAATGTCGAATTAGTGATGTAATATTAACAATATTTAAATATTAAAGAATAGTATATTACTATATTAAAATAGTTTTTGCTTCTTTATAAATCTTATCATTTATGGAGATATATACATCTGAGTAATTATTGAGGTAGAAGATTGGAATAGACAAAATATTCTCTTGACCTGAGAATAAAATTGCTTACAAAACAAACTATGAGGTAATTGGATGGATTTATAATGTTATTACATTTGAGGTAATTGGTTGCTAAAACTGGTTGTAAATATATCAATATGTGCACTACGCTATCTTATTAAAATGTACGTATGTAATTATAATTATTGGCAAGAATATGGCGCTGATTTTGGGATCTGAACGATCAGATCTTCAATATACAAAATCATTATTGGAGTTTAATCATATTTCTTTCAAAACTATTTTCAGTTCATTATATTCATACTATTTTATAAATATAGCACTCTTATATATTGCTGTTGGAATCTTTTCTTCTCACACTATGTATCAATCAACAGCTGAGTGTAAAATAGTATCACACATTTATTGAATAAATTCATTGTACGAACTTTTGTCGATTACGTTTGGCGATTTATTGTCAATCACCGTCACGAACATCTTCATCGGAATAATTTGCTTCATCATCAGAACTGCCCATATTGTCCTGGGAATTATTTTGATTTTCTCGAGATACTTCCATTCCTAAATCCATAGGTTCGTCTCGTCTTATGTCATTTTCAGAAGAGTGCTTTGCTTCCATCATAGCCTAGAAGACAATATTAATTATTTGCAACTTTACTTAGATGAAACCTATTTTAATTATAACTATATCATATAAACTATCGTTTAGCGCTTTACGAGCTTGCAAATAAGTGGAGCATGGAATTTTATGCTACGTCATGTGATAAGTTGAATTTAAAAAAAATTGTAAAACGTATAGTAAAGTAAATATTCATTATTTTTATTGATACTATTCACTATTTTACCTTATGTTCAAATTCTGCTTTATAATCATATGGGGAATTATGAGGAAGTTTGTCCAGTCCCATCGCACTTAGTTGAGCCATTTTAGCAGCATGCATTGCTGCTGCAGCTTGTTCTTGAGTCATACCCATTCCTAAAAGTAATAATAATAATAAGACTTAGTTATGAAATATTTAATATAGAATACAGTGTCGGTCGTATATAAGTGATACAAATATCAGAAATTAATCAATAGATATATGATTTGTTTATTTGAATATAGTCAAGAATAAAATTACTAACCGAAAGAATTTTCTGTTATGAATTGCAGATATGTATCCAGGATGGCTGATCCTGTAGCTGTTGCTCCTGGTGGTCCAGGATGTGAGCTGTAAGGATCTTTGTACATCCCGTCCATAGTTTTGGGCGTTAATCCAGAATGAGGACCCCGAGCCATGTTGACTTTTGTGATAGTTGTGTTGTTTGGATGATGGTTGAAGCCGCCTGAAAAGGTAAGTGAATTTAATTTATGCATGATTGATCAAGGCAACTTGATATTCAAATTTTAATCGCAGGGTTTATATCGAGGCTATTGAATTAGTTGTCACTTTTTTCACATACCGCTAATACTTAACAAGTTAAATGATTTTCCATAAAAATAATGAATAATCTTCTTACCCGGTGATGAAGTCATCACGTCGTGCATATACCGATGCGGCGTCATTCCTGGATTGACTACGGTCAGATCTTCCGGATCGTTGTCCCCACACATGGATCCACCAGCGTCCGAATCTTGGCCGCGAATTTCTAGTTTGACGTCACTTCTTCTAGGCCCAGTAGGAGATGCCCTTGCTCGTAATTCGGCAGCAGAAATCTTCACGCCGGCTTTAGCTAGTAACCTGGAAGGATGCGGATCGAATACGTTCAGTAACCTATAAGCGAAATCATCACAACTATAGTTCTCCTAAAGGCCCTGCTTAGAGCCCCAAGAAGATAGAGATAGTTTTTGTTGTTCAATTCGCGCTGCTTACAACAACTACATTACACTTTGTGCAAACTACCTATTTATATAAATCGTTTATAGCTTTATTTGCTCATGAGATATTGTTGAAGCCTTATTCAAAGCCGTGGAAAGAGTTAAAACTAGGCCTTAGACTGATTGGTCTATGAGTAATTAGAAAACAACAGTAAGGTGGTTATCATTATTACCTGCTTGCAAGTTCTGGGTCAAACGGGCTAGGCATCGGTAAAACGGGTAAATCCTTAGTAGATATTCCTCGATGTTGTCTGGACATGTGCGAGTGCAAAGAATTGCGACTTTTGGCAACTGTTCCGCAAAGAACACAACGGTAACCTGGACAGACTGTATGTTTGTCTTCGAGATGTGTGCGCAGGGTGTGGGCTGATCGGTATATTTTTCCGCATTTGGGGCATGGTCTAGGATCGGTTGCTCTTACACGTAGAATATCTAAAAGAAAAGTAAAATTGTTTAATAATAGCAGAATATTTTTATACTTAAAGTTATTTTTACCTATTCAAGTTTGCAGTTTAGAACCTAGATTTTCGACTTCACGTCTGGCAATTACGAACATGCATACATTTAATTAGATTTTCATAATCTAAATTTTATAATCATAGTCAAAATGCAAGTTGTGGAATGTATAGTCATTTTTATATTTATCCATAAGGAAACTACATAAAATATACAAATTATTTTTCATAACTTAATAATACTTTTTCAATATCTTCAATTTTTATAAATAGTAACCTATAATTTTCATGACTAAGTTTAAATACGACTTTATAAGCTTTCATATTAAATTAATTTAAATTACTATGCTATTTCAATTGTGTTTAATAAGCGTACAAATCATAAAAACTTATGCTTGATTATTTCGTAAAAATCTTTGGAATAACAATCGTCATTCTTTTATACGTATCTTAAATTAATTAATACAAAATAGTAAAATATTAATCAAAAAATGTAACAGAAACGCTAGTTAATTTAATTAGTCTTTTAATCTAAAGTCAGCAATAAAATATTTAAACTTTGGCGTAAAGACAAATTTTGTTCTCGTTACATTCATTCTAGTTTCTTAACAAATTCTATTTAGGAACGTTTTCGATATATAAATTTTTTATACATTTAGTATTATTAACTTCAGTCAAAAAATAATTAATGCATACAAGATTTGAAAACAATTTGGTATTTTCTTTTTAAATAAATCGAAGCCTTACAGCTAAACCCTAAAGACTAAAAATATTTAAATAAAATAGAACGTAAAGATCCTTATAATAAAGTAAAAGCGCATTGGCTAAATGAAAAATCACAAGCAATTTTGATATCATTAAAAAATCAGTATCACATTTTTTCGAATTTTTAAATAATTTTCAGTAAATTTAAGAAAAAGGTTTCTATCTCAAACGTATAAAATTATTTTCCAAATTTTAAATTTGTATGTACAATTTCTAATTTTTATTTACACATTTAATTGTTTGCAAAAAATATAATTTTTGGGAAGTGGAATACAGAGTAATCACAATAAAATTTCTAAGTCTTTTGGCGTAGATTAGTAGTGGCTTTTTATGCCAATTCACATCATATTTAGTAGCCGAATTTTTGGATTTTTAAATACTGCGCGGAGCTAATAATAATAGTTACATATTTATCTCTAAACTTGAACCAATGTGGCTGGTTAAGACTGGCATTACACAATGCTAGTGGTATTCTCAACAATGTTTCTTTCTACGTGGTGTCAAAATTATTAATTAATCTTCCAATTTTTTTATTTAGTTTTACGAAGTGTTGAAGAAGTACTGAAAAGGGCTTCTGAATTAAATTTAAAATAACAAGTTGGCGCGTTCAAGTTGTTTAAGATATTTGTTATCGGCTATTACTATATTTGAAACGTATATATATTGCCGAGTTACGTGTCACATAGACAATTATGTTTATTTTAGTTTTTTCAGCTAATTCATGTAGCGTTAAATTCTGGTTTTGGTATTCAAAATGGATTTAAAATTAACTATATAAATATTTTCTAAGCGTGTGTTCTAAAAGCTAAGCATATCCTGTAACATTGCTGCATCAGACCCTGCACCACCAAACGCTCCCCAGCGCATCGCTTTCATTTGTCTCCACTGCATAGGATGTTTAATTCGCATATGATTCCGCACGCTGTTCGGATGGGCGAAATGCCTTGAACAGGACGATACCGGGCAGACGGGCGAATCCCGCGGATAATGCCTTTCGAGATGTGACCTAGCCGCTATCAGAGATGCTAACGGAGCATTACATAACGGGCACACCAGGGAAAGACGTTGTTGTTGTTGCTGTTGAGACCCAGATCCCGATTGCTGAGATCTCGATCCCCCCTGAAGTTGGGACCCCGATCCCGCTGGGTGTTGTGAAAACTGCATTTGCGTCTGCGAGTTGCTATACATCGAATATCTTGCGCTAGGAGATCTCTCCGTCGCTGCAGGAAGTGGCGACGTCCGCGCAGGAGACATCGGTTCCGTCTTCACAGTAGTCGCATCTGCAAATTGCGATTTGAAACAAAAATAAAACATTGAAGGCATTCAACAGATAAAATTATCAAGTGACATCATAGTGTTCTGAGTCTTCCAACTAAAGATTCAGAGAGCGTATGGTGTCGTATCCCCGACTCCCCAACGATTCGAATTAATTGATGATTTTTTATTTTGACATCCGATTGTCGGGGGATACATTTTTAAATTTTCAAATGCCTTTAATGTTTTATTTTCAAATCGCATGCATAATGCTACTCTTGCGAGCGAAACCAATATTTTAAGAGTTAACTTTTTTTAATTTTCGTCTTAGGGAGACGGGGTTTTAATAATATGGTAATAGGTATATCCTCAAACATTCACTATTATGCGGTTGCACTATACTGATTCAGAAATAAATAAAACGTCACATGATACATTATATTTTATTGAAGCCTACTCATATTAAATAATATTTATAAACAATATTTTCTCATATTAATTTTACATGATATAAAGCTGATAGCGTTCTCATTAATTAATACTAATAATATATAAGTCTTAATAAAATCACTTGCAGTATACTTTGTGAATGAAGATTTCGAATATTTACGTTATCAATTTGCCATAAATTGAAGTAGTTTTAAGAAATTGTCCTTGCGACATTTACTGAATGTTATTAGTCGTAATAATCAGGCACTTCATAAAGTACTGAACTAAGCTTAACAGTACAATGATATCGATATTAGCTTTTATTTGCTTCTTTATCAAAATTTAGGGAAGACGTCTATTGCTTGCATGTCAGTTTCCATTATTTCAGTCATTCCTCCACGATTCATATCGACTCTGAGACGGTCTCTGTCTAATACCATGTGCTTGCAACAGATGATTAATGAGATAATGTTTTGTCTTGCACTTTTTCCCGCAAGTCGGACACGTCAGATATTCTCCTTCTTCTGGACGAGCGTGGACATTGCGTAGATGCTGTCTAAGATTACTAGCAGAGGAATAAATCCTCGAGCAAATCGGGCAGCTAGGGCGATCCGAGCTGGCTTGTGGAAAATTCATCGGCAGACCGCGAGCCGCCCCTGGAATGCAGAGGCGGCTTTTACACAATTGAATAACAGAAGAAGAAAACACAGTTTTTATATAATAGATAGCATTTATAACGCATGCAATGTAAGGCGGGAGAAAAATTAATCGGTTGAGCGGTATTGTTAGTTTTGGAATATTTGCATATTTTATTATACTTTTTTTTCGGTTTAATCTGTTTCTTCAGAGTTGTTTTGGATATTTTTTATTATTACATATATAGATCTACATTTTTGATAAATTAATTTTTTGATATTTAAATTTGAACAATTAGTTTTTTTGGTTAGTTTAAATTTTTAAGCATCTAGATATTTGAATATTTTGGGTTTTCTAATATAACGTTTTCATTTCGTCATTTCGAATTTGAAACTTTTGAATTTTGAGCATTAAATACTGAAGCAATAAACTTGATAAATTATCTCAAAAATTGATAGATTACCTGCTGATGTAAAATAAATCAAAACGAAATGTGTTACATTGCACCTTAAATATTGCGCAAGTAATAAGAGCAAGTGTCTTCATAATGATGCGATCGATGAGTATATAATTACAATTTCTGTGTTCTGAAACTATAAGTTTATTTCCACCTGGTTTATTTTCAGTTCATTACATTAATGACTCGGAATTAGTTTCTGAAAAGCGTTAATCTCCTAACAATCTTTCACATTTGATCAATAAGATAGATTCCGTTCGCATTCAAGAATCTTCAATTCCATTTGTTTGATATTGATACTTCGCCCTCCATTAGTCCTTTACAACGCGAAACGGCGATAAATCCGTTTGCCGGCACAAAGCTCGCTATTATGTCGGATATTTGTACTGTAAGTTGTGTATGGAATGGGGACGAAGCTGAAGTAGGTAAATATAGTATGAGTAATAAAGCGCTAATACTCGGAAGACATGCAATATACCTTCCTACCTTCCTTCAACTTGTGCGTGAGTACTTAGGACGCGCCGCACCTTTAACGGCAAATTCACAGAAGCAACTAACATAATCGCCCGAATCGATAACGTTCGCCCCATGGACGGGAAGAGGTGCGGGCGCCACGAAAAATGTAATGAATTGTAGTGATTTTTCTTGTCGTTGAAATTACTTTGCTGGTGTATAATGAAGGCGAAGTAATAAAGCTGATGTAGGTTAATGAATTGAACGCTCGGCTACGGCTTAAATGTAATTAAATGCATATGGTTTGGTGGACTTCATTTCATTTGTTTTCTTTATTGACGTCTTGAACCATTTCTTAAATGATAAATATCTTAAGTATTGTGACAAGCTTTTAATTAATTAATTAATACAAATTTTTGAACCATCTTATGTCTTCAGCAACCAACCCCTATTTCATTTCATATTTGCTAACTCTATCTGTCAATTACAAATTTATTTTTAACTTATATAATATGAACCATATTACGCACACACCTTAGCTCTATATATAGTTTTACAAACCTGCCTTATTGCTTTGACACTGTTAAACACAATTATTAAAAATTGAGAAATTAAATCAGCTGAAAAAACAATTACTGCCTGATTTCTATCTAATTAAGTAAAACTAGATAACAAGTAATTTCTACAATTTTGTACTGGAAATCATGCATAAAATTAATAAATATAAATATTTTGTTCCGATATCATTTAGCGTAATGCAACATACATGATGTATATGAGATAAACGAAATATATTCATTAAATGCTGATTGAAATCATAAATTTTTAATTGAAAATGTGATTTAAATTTTAATTAAATTAACGTAATTGATAAATTTGTCCCAGCAAATATAATATTCATATGTTAAATAATAGTTACGATATCTGAAATCTGATATTGTCACACTAATAAATTGGATTATAAATAACTTTCTGATAATAAA